AAACTGTATCTTCTTTATCCATTCACCTGTCGATGGACATCTCAGCTCTTCCTGTGGTTCGGCTGCTGCGGACGTGGCTGCTATGAACATTGGGGTGCAGGTGCCCCTTCGGATCACTACGTTTGTATCTTTGGGGTAAATACCCAGTAGTGTGATTGCTGGGTCGTAGGGCAGCTCTATTTTCAACTTTCCGAGGGATCTCTGTACTGTTTTCCAGAGTGACCGCCCCAGCTTGCGTTCCCACCAACAGTGCAGGAGGCTCCCCTCTCTCCGCATCCTCGCCAGCGTCTGTCGTTTCCTGACTTGTTAGTTTTAGCCATTCTGACTGGCGTGAGGTGGGATCTCATTGTGGTTTTGATGTGTATTTCCCTGATGCCGGGTGATGTGGAGCACTTTTCCATGTGTCTGTTGGCCATCTGGGTGTCTTCTTTGCAGAAGTGTCTGTTCATGTCCTCTGCCCACTTCTTTTTTTTTTTTTTTAAAGATTTTATTTATTTATTTGACAGACAGAGATCACAAGTAGGCAGAGAGTAAACTCTGCCCATTTCTTTCCTTCTGTCCATTTTTAACTGGATTATTTGTTTTTTTGGGTGTCGGGTTCTGTAAGTTCTTTATGTATTTTGGACACTGACCCTTATTGGCCACATCATTCGCGAGTATCTTCTCCCACTCCAAAGGCTGCCTTTTTAGTTTTGTTGACTGTTTCCTTCACTGTGCAGAAGCTTTTTGTTTTGATGAAGTCCCTAGTCTCTAGCTACGTGTCCAGTAGGTTGCTGGAGCCAAGGTCAAAGAAGTTACTGCCTGTGTTCTCCTCTGGGATTTTTATGGTCTCAGGTCTCACATTTAGGTCTATCGTCCATTTTGAGTTTGCTTTTCTGTATGGTGTAAGAAACTGGTCCAGTTTCATTCTTTTGCACATAACAAAATCTCCAGTTTTCCCAACACCATTTGCTGAAGAGACTGTCTTTTTTCCATTGGACATTCTTTCCTGCTTTGTCGAAAATTAGTTGATCATAGAGTTGAGGGTCGATTTCTGGGCTTTCTATTCTGTTCCATTGATCTATGTTTTTGTGCTGGTGCCATTCTGTCTTGATGATGACAGCTTTGTAACAGAGCTTGACGTCTGGAATTGTGATGCTGCCAACTTTGGTCTTCTGTTTCAACATTCCTCTGGCTATCAGGGTCTTCTGTGGTTCCATACAATCTTAGGACTGTTTGTTCCAGCTCTGTGAAAAATGCTGGTGTTATTTTGATAGGGATTCTGTTAAATGTGTAGATTGCTCTGGGTAGTAGAGACATTTTAACAATATTTGTTCTTCTAATCCGTGTACTTAACATGTCTTTCTATATTTCTGTGTCATCTTAATATCTTTCATCAGTGTTTTTCTTTTGTTGTTGTTGTTGTTTTTAAAGATTTTATTTATTCATTCAACAGAGAAAGAGAGGGAGACTGAGCGTAAGCAGGGGGAGCAGCAGGCAGAGGGAGAAAGAGAAGCAGGCTTCCTGCTGAGCAGAGAGCCCAATGCGCGGCTCGATCCCAGGACCCTGGGATCATGACCTGAGCCGAAGGCAGACGCTTCACCTACTGAGCTACCAGGCGCCCCTCATGTTTTGTAGTTTTCAGAGGACAGATCTCTTTACCTCTTTGGTTAGGTTTATTCTCAGGTATCTTGTGGGTTTTGGTGTAGTTGTAAATGGGATTGTCTCCTTGATTTCTCGCTTTACTGCTTCATTATTGGTGTATCAAAGTGCAGCGGACTCCTGTACGTCGATCTCGGGTCCTGCAACATTACTGAATCCGTAGATCAGTTCTAGCAGGTTTTTGGTGGAGTCTTTGTTTTTTCTGTATAGAGTATCACGCCATCTGCAAATAATGAAAGTTTTATTGTTTTCTTAACAATGTGGATGCCTTTTATTTCTTTTTGCTGTCTGATTGTTGTAGCTGAAATATTTTTTTCATTATAAAAATATATACTCTTCTTTTTAAAGATTTCTTTAAAAATTTATTTATTTGACAGAGATCACAAGTAGGCAGAGAGGCAGGCAGGGCGGGGTGGGAAGGGAAGCAGGCTCCCTGCTGAGCAGAGAGCCCAATGCGGGGCTCGATCCCAGGACCCGGGGATCATGACCTGAGCTGAAGGCAGAGGCTTTAACGCACTGAGCCACCCAGGCGCCCTGAAAAATATATACTCGTCTAAACTTGAAACAACCCAGGGTTGGGAGAACGAGTCGGGTGGACAGCAAGAGCCCTGTGCCCGTGGGCTTCCACCACTAGGGCGGTGGGGTAGGGCGGGGGGAGGGATGTTGCTCACCGTCCTGCAAGGCCCAGGGCAACCCCACAGCACAGAACAGTGGCCTCACATGTCAATAGTTCCAAGCTGAGAACCCCTGACCTGAAACGCTCTAGGCTTGACTCTGTCTTGAGAAGTGGAAACTCGGCCCTCGTGGTCGTCTGTTGATGGAAGGGGCTGGTGCTTGACTCTCAGGAGGGGATGAGTGTCGCTGGAGAAGCCCGAGGTCCTGAAGCAGGGCCGGTGGCAAGGGCTCTGGTGGGTGCGAGCGGCTGGCCGGGAAGGGTGAGCGGGTCCTACTGCAGAGTACAGAATCCGGGTGGAAAGAGGCCAACACTGGTTTGCTCTCAGGTGGATTACGAAGCAACAGAGCCCTCGTTCAAGGCCACCATGGAGGACACGACCCTGGAGCAGGCTGTCGGGCTCCTGCAGAGGGTGAACGGCTTCTGCTGCCTGTCTGTGAAGGTCAACATGGAGGGTACACACTCTCCCCCGCGCCCAGCCCACAAGGCCACCACCTGAGGCCTGAGCCCCTGGCGCGCACCCCAGAACTAGACTGTGCCCCAAGTGTGCAGAGGGCCCAGGGCAGCTGGGGGTCCCCTTCCCACCCACTGGCTCCTGCACCGGGATGGCTCCCAAGACTCTAGGGGAGGCTCCTTCCTTCTCTCCTGCTTTCAGATTCCAGAACTTTCCCCAAGGGGGATCATTGCCCTGGGGTTATCTCTGACCAGGTTATAGGAGGTTGGTCCAGGACCTGGAGGCCAACGTGGTGACCTCAGGGGACTCCTTCTACATCCGGGTGAACCTGGCCATGGAGGCGCGGGCGGAGGGGGAGCTGCAGGTGCGATGCAGTGATGTCCTGCACGTCAGCGACACCCTGTTCCGGGGCCGCGGCTGCTGGCGCGCCCACCGCGTGGGCCCCTACAGCACGAAGGGCGTGGAGCACGGCACCATCCCCAACTACGCCCGGTGAGCTGCGGTGGCACGCCCCAACACCTCCCCCTCCCTGGGTAGGGCCGGAGGCACGGCCAAAGGGGCCTGGCCTGGCTTCCTGTGGGCGAGCCCTCCTGCCCAAGAGGAGAAGGTGGGCATGACCAGACACCCTGAGGAGGGATCCCCGGTGGGTCACCCCCAATGTCACTGTGTAGGTGGGGTTTCTTTGTGCAAAGGGATGCCCCTTGGTCCTAGACCATTCTAGAGCATCCGGGACCAGTGTGACATCTGGGGCTGGCTCGCTGGGACACGGGGGCCCGTCTGGGCACAGCAGGACGTTCAGCGGCGTCCACCCGCTACACAAGGAGCCCCTCTGTCCCCAAGATGATTCAAAACATCTCCAGACGTTGCACAGCATCCCCTGCGGGTTGGGTGACCACCATCCTGCTGTGTCCAGGACTATTTCGGTTACAGCCAGGAAAGTCCCGTGTCCTGGGGAGCCTCTCCGTCCGGGGCCAGCCGGGACAGTGGGCCGCCCTCCCAGGGAGCAGCAGCAGCCCTGCGGAGAACCGTGCTCCCGAGCCCCCGCAGCGCACAGAGCAGGGCGCCCTGCCCAGCTCCCCAAAGCCACGTCCCTCTCGGTGGCGGCAGGCTTGCTGCTGCAAGGTTCCAGAGCGTGGCCCACACCCAGGCTCCCACGGAGTCAGCGGGGTCCTAACCAGAGCAAATCCATTGGCAGCTGCAGTTTTCTAAACGCCCCAGGGGACCCTAGTGGGCTCCCTGCCCCCAGGGTGCAGACGGGGACTGGGGCCGCAGGGGTGTGTTTGGGGGTGCTGGGCAGGGCCTTCCTTGCCCTGGGTCAGGGCTGGCCTCCTCTGCGCAGGGCTCAGCAGCTGCTCATCGCTCTCATCCAGGACATGGCTCAGCAAAGCACCACCGGCCGCAAGGTGCGCTGGGAGACCCGGCAGCCTGGATTCCGGACACAGGGCTGTGCCACGGCGGGGCCTGCCTCTCTATCCTGGCCTTCTTCCTTCTGGCTCACATCATCTTGGGGGGTGGGGGAAGGTTCCTGCCTGGCGGGTCCTGGCCCTGTCTGTGGTCAGCTGGAAGAGGGGCTAGTAATGGCCTGGGGGCCCAGGGCCAGGGCCCATAGGCCGCTGACCCCATGGGTGCGACCTGGTGTGTCTGTCCCCGGTGGTCCCTCCAGGTCTTTGCTGGGGCCGCACAGCACACCCAGCCTGCAGGCTCCTCTGTGGGCACAGATCCGTCCTCTGGGCTGTCTGTGTCACACTCCTAGGCCACCCCATTTGCCTGTCCATCTGCACCCCATCCTAGTCCCTCTGAGGTCCCGACACAGACCGTTCAGCTGTCCCCGAGCAGGACGCTAGGGCAGCTTCCCTGGATTGGGGCAGGGCTAGGCCGCGGGGGCCCCTGGTGTTCCCTCCTGCTTTATGCCCGCACTGTGGACGCCGTGCTCAGGGGGTGCCCTGCTCGGGGACTCTGCCTGAGGACCCCATCCTGCCTCCCCTCTGCCTCCCTCCAGCATGGGGCCTGAGCCTCCTGGCTGTTCAGTGAGCACAGCCTGGTGGTCCAGGGACCAGCCTGGATTTGGCAGTGCGCCAGGATGCAGATGGCTGGGACACCTGCTTGTCCCTCTTCCCTCCTCAGCAGTCTTCCGGGGGACCCCAGAAGCTGGTCCGCATCGTCAGTGTGGACAGAACCAAGGCCAGCCCTCTGCGCTCATCCTTCGATGGGGCCCTGTGGGAGCCCAGCAAGCTGGAAGGTGAGCCCAGTGGTGCAGGCCAAGGGGACCCTGGATGGCCTCGGTGTGATGGGTGTGGGTGTGGGTGTGAGGTCACGACAGAGATCAGCGTGGCACGCGCCCCATCGGGTCAAACCCTGCAGTGAAGACAGCGGGAGTGGACTGAGAGTAAGGTGAATTACTTTGAGTTAATTTTCCTCTTTTTGGCAAGTGTTTTGGGTGCATATGACTGATGAAAAGAGAAGTAAACCCTAGAAGAGCAGGGAGCCAGAGCGAGGGAAGGCCTGGGCCTGCAGGGCCAGTGAGGGTGAGGGCCCCGTGGCTGGGGATCTCGCAGTGTGCTGGGAAGGCGGAGAACTGCTTCTCTCTGTCCCCGCTGTGGGCCCAGGGAGCTGAGCCCGGAGAGACCTTCACGGCCAGCCACGGGGTGTGGGATGCACATGTCCCTGGGGGGGGAGTCGAGCCTCTGTTACTGCCCCAAACACATAGAGTCCAGCCTGCGGCCTGAGGGGCTGGCAGACAGCATGGTCCGGCGCCCGGCCCACTCATGCCTCCTCTCCCCCACAGAGCCCTCCACTGCGTGCTTCTGGGCCGAGAGCTGCTTCACCCTGGTGCCCTACACCCTGGTGCACCCCCACAGGCCCAGCCAGCCCCGGCCAGTGATCTTGGTGCCCAGGGTTGTCGGGAAGATCCTCAGCGAGAAGCTGTGCCTCCTCCAAGGGTTTAAGAAATGCCCAGCAGGTACGGTGTCACCTGGGAGCCCCACCTGCCCATCGGGTGGCTGGGTGAGGCCTTGGAACAGATCTAGTCTCGAGTGGTGACGGAGCCCAGAAGGCTGAGATCCAGGCGTGTCTGTGCTGCCCTCCCGCCCCTCCGCCCCGAGGCTCTCAGGGGGAGGCGCTCCTTTCCTCTTCTGGCTTCCGGTGGTGCCGACAGTCTGGGGGTCCTTGGCTTGTACCCGCATCACTTCCGTCTCTGCCTCCATGTCACCTGGCCTCCTCCCATGTCTCTGTGTCTTCACACCGTCTTCTTATAAGGAACCCGTCATGGAATCAGGGTCCGTCTTACTCCTGATGACCTCATCTTCACTCACCACATTTGCAATGACCCTATTTCCAAATACGTCCTATTCCAAGGTTCTGGATGGTCATGTATCTTGGGGGGATGCTATTCAATCCGGGGCAGATCCTGCCGACAGATGGGGCTTGCACTCAACCGGGGTAGGACCCCCAAAGGGCTCCTCACCCGCTCAGCCCCAGAGCTCCTTCGTGGAGAGTCACAGAGAGGAACTGGCCATCTGGACTCCTAGATGCCAGGGGACAGGGTCTGAGTGTCTGCACGTGGGAGAGATGGTTCCGAGGTTGGCGAGTGGGAGAGCCGCTTTGTGGGAGTTTTTGTTCATTAGCTTGGCACTGGCCAGCCGATGGCGACGGGAGGCCTTGGGTTACCAGCGGAGGCGGAGTGGGGCTCTGTCCAGACCCCGCTGGGGTTCACAGAGGGCAAAGGGCTGAGTGAGTCCGGCTTGTCTAGCATGTGCCAGGTTCCCTGAAGGGAGCTGGAGAGGGGCAGCCACCTGGAGACGAGACAGGCTGCTGGTTGTTGGCTCCACAAGTGGCCCAGGAAGGGAGACAGGTGCTTTGGAGAAGGCGGGGCAGAGCTCGGCTCTGATGGGCAGGCAGGAGCTGGTGAGGCCGCAGACCAGGCAACAGTGCGGTGGGCTGTGGCCCCTGGGCCTGGGCTGCTGCGGGTGCGGCACGACAGGAGGAAGTGGGCGGGAGTCCCCGTCACGGCGGGCACCGGTCTGACCCAGGAGAACGCGTGCTCAGAACAGAGGATATCCAGGAAGAAAGGTAAAAGCCGGCTGTGTTTTGACTGTTTATTTTTATTTTTATTTTTTTAAAAAGATTTTATTTAGGGGCATCTGGGTGGCTCAGTGGGTTAAGCCTCTGCCTTCGGCTCAGGTCATGATC